TTCAGAATATTTTCAAGGATTACTTGCTCTCTCTTTACCTCTCTTCATGTCTCTCTTCAAAATTGGTTTTCTTTTGTCCATTCTCGGGGTGCTGGGATGTATTTATTTGTTGATTGCTTGGCATGTAGCCTAATATATATATTTCTTGAGTACGGTGGTACGTCACGGACGTAGTAATTTAGTGCAATCAAAAAGAGAAATGACAAATGTTCATGCAAGAGGGAAAAAAGGTCAGAAGTTATTCCATTCGTCTAAAACTATCGTTTTCGGCTCAACAAAAGATATCGCAGGAGGACCGGTAGGGAAGGAGCGTGTGTCTGCTACAATATGGCTGTCAATGTACTTACTGCTAAACATAACTAGATGCAGGGTTCTATAACTATACGGTTCTACTACTACTTATTAGTCCATGTATGTAATTACCTGTCAATACTCTCTTGGCATCTATCTCTCCCAAATCCTGTCCAAATACCAATTCAATGCCCATTCGGCTTCCGATCAGCTTGCGTCTCAAACTCATCCTCATATGCACCCATCGACACTCGACTTCTCACCCGCTCTAACTGACTCTCTACATAATGCGACACATGATCGTCCACACCGTGGTCTTTTTCTTCATCGTCGACTACACTTTCTGCAGCGGTAGTGTCACCAAAGGCCGATTCGAAGTCGCTTCGGTTCCCGATGGAACGACTCGTGGACGATCGGCGGATGCTGGGTCGACGGCTACCGCGTGGTCGGGAACGGCTAAAGATATCATCAAAGTAGTGTGATGCCGCCGCGTACGGGGAGCGAGGGGTCTGCGGAACGCGGCAGTTTATTCTGTACATATAGTTAGGTTATACTGACAGTGAAGCATTCTGGATTGGTTCACTTACCCAGTGTCATGGATGATCTTGGCAATCAAGCCAGTCCAGCCGCATTGGTGAGATGCTCCAAGGCCCCGTCCAGTATCACCATCAAAGAATTCGTGGAACCACATGTAATCTTTCCAGTGCTCGTCGAAGTCGAGAAGGTCAGAGTTGTCGTGTACCGCTCGACGTCCTTCATCGTTACGAGCAAACAAATGCTGCAACCGATGTTGGATTTCCTCGGCAACCTGCCCGAGATGCATATATTCCCCGGATCCTGTAGGACATTCAACCTGGAATTTATCGCCGTAAAACATGTAGAAGCGCAGCAACGACTCGACCAGCAAGAAATTGACGCACAGCCAGACCGGTCCGCGCCAGTTGCTATTTCCGCCGAAAAGAGCACTGTCCGAGTCACCAGGGACATAATTGACACGGAACTCCTGCCCATTGACCGTCATAGAATAAGGATGCTCGCCATGGTATTTAGACATGGATCGGATACCGTGCTCAGACAAAAACTCGGTTTCGTCGAGCATCCTTTTTAAGATCTTTTCCAGGCGGTCTTTGCTGACCAGTGCCAAGAGGAGACGCTCGCCTTTGCCACGACGTTTCATGCTGGCAATATTGCGTTCGGCAACATCTTGTCTATTCTCAATGAACCACTCTAGTCGGCGCTTGAAAGAAGGGAATTGGTTGATCAATTCGGGCTCGAGCGTGAGGACTCCATACAACGGAATCAAGCCAACGAGGGATCTCACGGGGAGCTGTTGAGTCCATGGTTCACCGTAAGATATAGCATCGTAGTAAAACCTAAGTCACATCAGAGTGTACTCCTTTTTAATCTCGAATGTAACTCTTACCCATCCTCCTCATTCCACAGAGAAGCCTCTTCACCTCCCGACCTGAATGTCATAGCATCACTAATTAGGATGAAATGCTCGAAGAACTTGGACGCAACTGTAACCGTTAGTCAACCATTTCAAGTCCTTATGTGCCGAGGTGTAACATACTGTCTTCATAGATCCGCCGGTGTTTAGCCAATTCCAAGGCAATGTTGAGCATGCATAAACAATAGAATGCCATCCACCCAGTGCTGTCCGCTTGCTCCAAGACGCCTCCAGTGGGCAAAGGTTCGGAACGATTGAACAACCCAATATTATCCAAGCCGAGGAAGCCTCCCTCGAAAACATTCTTTCCTTCTGAGTCTTTACGGTTAACCCACCACGTGAAGTTGAGGAGCAGCTTTTGGAACACCCGTTCGAGAAAGTCTAGGTCCTGCCGGCCATACATCTTCCGCTCGATCTTGAAGACCCGGAACGTCGCCCATGCGTGGACGGGAGGGTTTACGTCACCAAAGTTCCATTCATATGCAGCAAGCTGTCCGTTGGGGTGCATATACCATTCTCGAGTGAGAAGATCCAGCTGCTTCTTAGCAAACTCGGGGTCAATCATCGCGAGAGGGATGCAGTGAAAAGCAGTATCCCACGCAGCGAAAAACGGATACTCCCAGGAGTCGGGCATCGAAAGAATGTCATCCATGTACAAGTGTTTCCACTGCTGGTTTCGAACATGCTTCCTACCAGGGGGAGGTGGGATCATCGCGGGATCGCCATTTGCCCATTGATCCCAAACAAAATGATAGTACTGCTTCGTCCACATCATGCCCGCAAATGCCTGTCTCTGAATGTTTCGTAGGTCATCGCTCATGGGTAAGGGGCTGATGTGATAATAGAAATCGTCGGCCTCCGCTATACGCTGTTCAATAGTGTCATCCAGTTCCTCCTCGTCAATGAAGGGCTGGACCTTTCGGGACAGCCTGAACCGGACAACAGCACACTCGCCTGGAGGGATTCCATCACCCTCATTGAAAGCATACCAGGCAGCAAACTTAGTACCCTTGTTCTCAGGGTTAATCGCGTCCTTTTCGCCATTAACGATGTAGCGATGGAATGCATCCTTCACGTACGGCTGATCATTTTCCGACTTCCAGAGCAGCTCGTTATTCGTCTCGTTTTCCGTGAACAGCATCTTTGGCAGGATATCCTCCTGGTTGCTTCCCGCCGCTGGGGAGGGGGAGAATCGTACATATCTCTCACCTAACTTCTTGTGGTGAGACTTGGCTGTCAGGGGGGTGACCTTTTCGATGGAAGGCTTGTGAGACTGGTCCTCGTAGCCCCAGGCCCAGGTATTCCGGAACCACACATGGGGGATGATGTGCAAGGGAGCCGGCTCAGGGCCTCGGTTGTAGGCAATAACGCGGAACAAGAGTTCCTCTTCGTCATCGTCTTCCTTGGCCGTCTCAATGAAAATATCCCAGTATCGATTGTCGTCGAAAGCGCCGGTATCTAGGATCTGGTATTCACGGTCCAATCTCGACCGGCGCGCATTCTCGTCTCTGAGATCCTCGTAAGGAAACTTCTTCTGGGGGTATTTGTAGAGGTATTTCATGTAGGAATGCTGGAATGAAGCGGTTAGAAAGGGCAATATGAACATCTTCCCAACTGGATAGATTTACCGTCGGAGTGTTATCAAGGTGGAAATGAGCTTCTTTGATACTCTCTCCATGGTTTCCTTGAGGGTTTGACAAGCCAAATAGACGCTCCTTCAGAATATCGCTAGTGCAAAATGAGCCAGTGGTCGGATTTCACAACATAAGGGACATACTCCTTTTCATTCCAGAAAGCAAATGCAACGTTCTGTAGAGTATGAGTATCGGAGACACCGGCGATCCCATCTTCGCCCCAGCGATATGTTCGCGACCGCGCGTGCTCATGAGAGAAGTCTATGGCGCAAACTGGGGTTAACGGGACGCGACAGATAAGATAATGGCGGGGGAAGAAGAGAACTTACAGCTCCACGCATCGCCATTTTCACTTTCCAATAAAATCAATTAGTTTATTTCATAGACTTAGGTGGGCAACAAATAATCATAGACAGGAAGATCAGAGGCATTGGGAAAAGACTTACGAATAATCCTCTCGAACTGCGGGGATCCCGAGAATGAGGTCATCAGTTTCGCGGCCCCTCATCGGAAATCAAAGCGAGAAAGAAACACGCTACGAACGCGCGGAAAAGAAAAAGCTCAGGAAGAACTTACCTGTTGCCCATTGCCTTTCGGCCACATACGGACCCCATTTTTTCCAGTAACGAACGCGATCGCGATCTTCCTTTAATCGCTCCTCCTCCCGCGAGGTGTGGACATGCTTGTCGATCAGGACCATTCTGGTCGGGGGGGATTCGCCAGAGAACGATATGGGAGGAGAGAAGAGAAATGAATTGAAGGAAGAAAGGAGGAGAGGGACGGGGATTGAGTGGCAAAGAAGAAGGAAAACGAGAAGAGAAATCAGGAGGGGAAGTGAAGGGAAGAGAGAGAAAAAAGAGAAGGGAAATATAAAGGATAAGGAAGGACGGCAGTTCCTGAACCCTGTTCCCAGAGCTGCAGTACAACTCACCAGCGATCCGATCGCTGGCTTATCAGAAGACCAGAAAGAACCGGAAACATGATTTCTTGACTTGGCCTCCACGGTCTGGACTCGTCGCTCGGACGTTCCATCAACGTTGAGGTGGGAACGGGGGACACTAAAGGTACTAACCTCCCTTCCGTGAACTGTAAAATTATTTTTATCTGGTGGCACCTGACATCATCATCATAGGTTTGTTCAAACCCTTTCCTTGTAGATAATTTTTTCCCCTCAACTGCCAATAAATATTGTACTTCCAATCGGAAGGTGGTGCCATTAGGCAATGAGCAATTTACTATCCAGCATACAAAACACACCCATCATGAGAAGCAGTCGGTGTGTCTTGCCACCTGGGATTTTTGATAAATGCAAATTTAATTAGGGCTTGTGTATTTGAACCGTGGAAGCTTTTAGTATTACCAAGCACATGAACAATCATATTTGAATGCAAACGATAGAGAATTCAATTTAGACTACCATCACGCCCTACGATCATTTAGCAATCTGAACACTCAATATTGATAAACCGCATAGGGACCCGGAGGGCAGATGGACGTGACTAGGTTCCTTCCGAATTCGGGATGAGGGGTGAAGCGCGGAGGTATAAACCCCCCCTCCTTTCCTATCTTCCTCTCTTTTCTGCCTTCTTACTTTAACCTCTCTTCCTTTCCGCGTCTACACGGTTGTACGGGCATGAAGCCAGCCGCACTTTCATCCATAAGAGAACATAGGCGTAGGGTAAATCACGCACCTAAGCCCATCGTCTATAACAGCAACCTGCGAATGTCACGAACTTTTGCATCATCGAGCCTCATGGACCCCAAATGTCTTCAGGAGGCAGCAAATGTGTGACGAACAGCTGTCGATCCTCTAACAGTCTGAGTTTGTATAAGCCCAGACATGCTTGTACGGCTCGTATACGCCTACCGGTGAACTCGGAGGGGGAATCTGATGCATGGGATACTGATATGATCCCTGCAAGCTGGGCGACGACGTAAAGACCATGGGAGGTGGATAGGAGGTGTCCTGCGGAGCAGTCAAACCCTTCAATGGTACTGAGCTATGGCGGTACGACTGCTGCTGATCTGCCGTAATCGGCCGAGCTGTGGTGCGATACCTGGAACAACAGCAACAGTCCAGCAACCACAGCGCACTGGTCAGAAATGATAGCATCACCGCGAGCCACGTGACGGCGTACATGTGTCGACCCATGTGTCCAATGATGCCGTAAGGTTTCAATACTATACTGACTGTGGTGGCCAGGGTGGCGAAGACGGCAGTGGAAGCGATAGCCATGGCCGTGGTGAAGAGGAGAGAGACCCCGGCGAGGAGCCATGCAAAGCAGCTGCCCAGGCGATTGCCTCCAACGGCGACGAGACAGGTCATGATCTCCAAGATGGTGGCTATCACAGCAATTAGATAGATGATGGCCATCCACAGCGACGCATTGCGATACATGTCTAGCGACTTTTTGAGTTTGCCAGGGAGAAAATCGTTGGTGTTGGTGCCATTGAGGCCCCAGTTGTCGATTGGGTTGAACCAGAATCCGCCTCGAGGTCTGGAGCAGTAGGTGGTGTTGTAAGTCCCATTGTCTGTTATGTTACCGGTACAGTAGCTCCAAAGGCCAATTGAAAAGAAACCATTCAACTTGGTGGTGTTGTTGGCCTCGTCGAGGGCTTGAATGAACTTGTCTGACTGGGTGATATTGAAATGCTTAAGGGTGGTATCGATCATGGACTGGGGGGTTGCTGTGGGATTTTGCAGTTCAATCTGTTCAAGATCTTAGGATGAGTTTGAGTCCTACTCGTGAGGCATAGTCGACTTGCACGCAAAAAGTAGTAATTCTCTGCCTTGTGAGCTCGAGTGCAGCCGATGCCAACAACGACAGGGCAGATGAGAGAACCAATTGTCAGAGCACATGGGAAACCTCTCCACACTAGATGGCCAGATTGACCCATTCTGATTAATCTGAAGATGATTTGGATAATAAGATCATGAAAGATGAGATAACTTGGCGAGCTTTATAGCATTTGCCCTGTCGCTTTCTCTCTCTCTCTCTCTCCATTTTACTTTTACTTTTATTCTTATTTTTTTATTATTATTATTTCTCTCTTTCTAGTTACTGCCGTTGACCTGCATGGTACCCAACCTCTCTTATTCTTTCTCTTTTTCCTTTTTTTTTTATTTTATTTTTATTGTTTATTTTCTTTGCGCCACTGACTCACTCGTTCTTAAATTACAGCGATACTCCTAAGGTACTACGCAGACTTATAGAAGCCTTAAACGTTTGGTAGTGGAGAAACATTGAAGTGCAGATCCACTCATGCCTGAGACCCGAACACGAACTGCCCGAACTGGAAAAGTGTGCGGTCCCCAGTGGGTCATTCCTACTACGTATAGTTTCAACCATCAGAATAGTCTTGCAAGATGCAAGATCAATTTCACGACTGATGACTTCTTCTTTACTGTTGCCGAACGTTCCTTACGAATGGCCCGCCGTGAGATTCGGTCCGTCTCCACTCATTTCCGCACCAGGGTCTATGTATCGGCAAGGAAATTCGCATTCGTATTAAATTAATCCAATGCAAGCTTGACGAGATGAGATCATACAAGCGGTAGTCTTGAATGTCCAAGCCAATTATTTAAAGAGGAGGATTTCTGCTGTTCATCAGTGGACTCAACACATCCTCAAATCTGTATGCAGAGTGAGTTCTCTATTCAAGATGAACATCTCATCCTGCTCGCCTGCAGAAATCCAAACCCCCACTGTCTTCGGGGCAGAGGTTCTCTCCCTGTCAGCCTTGTGGGTCACCAACTACACTCTCAACGTCCCAGCTGATTTCAACTACAACCATGGTGATGTCGATGTGCGCAATGCGCAGTTCTGCAACATCACCGTCACCTACACGCACCCTGGTTACAACGACCAGATCACAGTCGAGACCTGGCTTCCGCCTCGGACCAAATGGAACGGCCGACTGCAAGCCACAGGGGGTGGCGGCTGGCAAGCCGGGCGGTTCGTGCTGTCCCAGTTCTTCATGAGCGGCGCAATCGGTGAGGGATATGTGGCGACCACCACCGATGCTGGCTTGGGGGATGCTGTCGGGCCCAGCTCGTGGGCGCTCCAAAGCCCCGGGAACATCGACTATGTCGCGCTCAACAACCTGGGCTCCCGGTCATTAAATGATCAAGCTATCATCGGTAAGAGCCTGGTCAGCAGCTTCTACGGTCGAGCGCCAGACTACACCTACTGGAGTGGTTGTTCTCAGGGCGGTCGACAAGGTCTGATGCTGGCACAGCGGTACCCCACGGCGTACGATGGCATCGTCGCCTCGGCCCCTGCCCAATCATGGACCAAATTTGTGTCCGCCCTGTATTATCCCATTTTAATGCGTCAGTGGCACGGAGTCGACCCGCTGGCCTGCGAGTTGGACTTTCTGACGACCGAGGCTATCGCCGCCTGTGACGCGAAGGACGGGATTGTGGACGGGCTCATCTCTAACGTTACGGCGTGCGACTACAGTCCGTACACCTCTGTCAATAAGACTTTCGCCTGTGCCACTCTGAACAAAACGATGGCGCTCAGTCCTGGTGCCGCGCTCATCGCCGATGCCGCCTGGTCAGGACCACGGACCAAGGACGGCGAGCGACTGTGGTATGGGGTGAACCCGGGCGCCGACATCAGCCAGTTTGGCTCGGTACCTGGCGCCAATTCCTCACAGTCGGACATGTGGTTCAACCTGTTCGTGGCTAAGAATGCCAGTTTTGACACTATCCACATGAGTCCTGAGGTTTATGAAGAGTTCTTCCACCTCGGCACCCAAGAATATGCCAGCACCATCAACGCGGCCGATCCAGACTTGACTGCCTTCCGGGAGGCCGGCGGGAAGCTCCTCACTTATCATGGCATGGTTCGTTGCTTACCCCCCCTCTTCGCTTTGTAGCCCTAAGTTGCCTCATACTTCTAACATCAACTACCGATATCACAGGCCGACGATAGTATCCCCACGAAGGGCACCGAATTCTACTACAAGTCCGTCCAAAAGCAATTCCCGGATGTACAGGACTTCTATCGCTACTTCGAGTCGCCTGGGCTCGGGCATTGCTCAGGCGGACAAGGGGGTCAGCCGACTACGATTTTCGACGCGCTGAGACGGTGGGTGGAGAACGGCACTGCTCCAGAAACCCTCCCGGTGGAATATGCCAGGCCCCAGGGTGAACCGCTGCATCGTATCATATGCCCTTATCCCGCACAGGCCAAATATATGGGCGGAGATATCTCGTCGGCCGAGAGCTTCCGTTGTATTTAGAGCGCATTGACACCTTCTGCCTTATCAGGGGTACAGATTATCATCGTTTACTTTCTCTTCTTTCCCTTCCTTCACTATGGACTTTTCCCCTGTACTTTATATCTTTCCTCTATATGTCGTGAGAGGGCTTTATTCTGAAAACCATCACTTGTTGAACATTTTGCAGAAAGCGAAGCGACTGGAGTGGTGTAGCAAACCCAAGTTAAGTTCTGGACAGCGGAGTGGCTTCTGATCCGGCTGTATCATTATAGCTTCCTACCGGTATTAGTTTGGAAGGATTGACCCTAGGACTTGTCAACAAAGTAATATAATATGGAAGTATATGAGAAAGTGATCCTAATACACTGTATCAGGATCGCAGGCTTAGCGACCCATTACAGCGAACTGACATGGTATGACTCCGAATGATTGAGCCGAGCCAACCCCATCCTGGCTCATAGCCATTGGGTATACGGATGCTATCGCGGATGCCGGTTACCGTAGATACCGCGCAGCTGATTATCGGGTTGAATTTGTGTGACGAGTGTGCTGACTGCAAGGTTGAGATGACATTCTGCCTCGGTATAGAAGTCTGTTGGCATCCCCATGTAAGGACTGTTGGATAGATCTCCAAGCGTTTGCACCATGTTGAAGCCGGCGTAGGCAAGGAGTAAGTGTAGAACACAAAGTGATGGATAAAGCCGAGCCGGCAGAGCTCCTGTTGCGCGCGAGGGCTCCAACTAGTCAGTTCCTTCGAAGTTGGTAATTGGTGGAACAAGGCCATATCGGTGGCGGTGTATTGGAATGGCCTCTGTGCCACTTCCTGGGAGGGCTGATCCAGTCGCGGTGGCTGATGTGTCGTGGTTGATGAGACGTCATATGCTCGCTTGAATGGCTTGAGATGTGAGGGTGTGGTTGAGATAGGTATAGCCACCAACAGCTTCATCGGATATCGATAGGTCCGTAAATAGGGCTCCCTTCTACCGATTATCCAGTAGAATCTCGAGATAGAAAACTAAAGTCACAATTAATTGCGTGGCGGATGTAATTGCTGCATTGTGGCCCTATCACATCGCACTAAGACAGGCTCTGTCAGTCCCATTCTCTTGGACACAAGCAAAATAGCAACGCAACTAACCTTGACCCCACGCCGGTTAGAGTTATATCAACCAAGATGAGACTTACAGTGGCTTTTGCGCGCCAGCTTGTGGGCGTATGGTGTTATAGATGGTCCCATGGTGGAATGTATTTGATCCTATCCCAGATCACTATACTTTCACGTGTGCGGGATAACACAACTGATCGACCACTATCTTCAGAGGACTCACAAAGGCCGTAGAGGTTAAATACCGTTGTGGAGACTTTGTTCCAGCCTCTGAGCCCTGATACATGGTTCGCGAGCTGTAGCTGTTGCTGTGGGAGAGATGACTAAAGACTATTCTGTCCTGAAGGTGAGCTTCTTCAAGCTGCATGTTCATTAAAACCGTTGGAAGGTATCGGAAAACTGTGTATGGTGATATACTTTTGTACATAGATAGACTGTTGCGAACATCTGCAGTAGCAGCATGTAGTTAAGCGCTGATCTTGGAAGCTTTGGAAACAGGATATTGGCAATGCGCCTTTCGAAGACATATTTTGTCTCTAACACTGAAGGCTCGAAATTCTCGGAATCTTTTGTAATTTGGGCTATACTTGGGAGTCAACCGCTGCCTTGGGTTTACCGGCTTGTATACATGGTATATTAAAAATAATGTAGGAGTAACTACCAGTAGGATGGTACTATATTTATATAGTTCAAACTATAAATAGTCACACTTAAGCTAATTCAGTTCCTTCTTAATGCCTCCAGTCACCCCATGGAAAACATTATCACATAACAAGCACTCCCAAAGACTCGTGCCCTGATCCCAATACTGTCACTGACTTGTAACGCCTCCTGACACTAACTTCAGGGGGCCGAGATCTATTCGGGGGAACGGGGATTTGGAATGTCCAGCTGTCCTCGAAGATCGCAGAGCTTCACATCCGGATTATTCTGGATGAAGTGGAAGACTGCTTCAAATTCATCCAGGAATTGCCCCCAACGGTATACGCCATCCATCGTGCTCTCGCTGAGGAGAAGAGAGATGGTCGCAGATTCAGAGGACAAGTAACATTGCATCAGAGCATTCAAAGCGCAAATAGGACCATAATATTGCATGTCCCGCTCTCGAAACATCTCTGGATATGCCGTGGCCAAATCAGGTTGCACAGCAAGCAGGGTACCATACGTGCATGCGACTGCTTTACATTCGGGACTCAGCTGTTCGATATCTCGGTCATCGATTCCCTCGTGCATCATTAAGGACAGAATGTTGTCCTGGTCTCTCTCCAGGTTGTACCTGAGGGTCTCGTTGGGGTCCAATTTGATTCGGTCAGGGAGCATGGCAGTGGTTGGGACAGCCGAATCTATGATATCCGTGATAGGTGCCGATCGCCGGGCGAAGACGCCCCCAAACACAACATCGTTTGTACCGTGGTGCCAGGAGATCACAATAGCCAAAGTTACGCGGATCTTGTTCGTAGCAGTGAAGGCATCGTGGATGATGTTTAGGCGTCCGGTAAGTTCGCGGCTTTCGGTAGGCTCAAGCGATGGATCCAGCACCGGGGGAAAAACTTTGCCGTTGAACCCTGCGAATTTATCAATCCAGAACTGACGCTTAGAGACATCGAGATTTTTTGACCACCGAACAAACGGAGCAAAGCGTCTCAAAGTCAACTTTTGACCTTGGTATGCGTTGGAGATGTCTCGGAAGAGAAGGGGTAAAGATTGACCATCGTAGATGGCATGATGTATCAGCATGACAAATCGATTTGTTTGAAGACCGACTCGCACCAGGGGTTTTCCAAGTCCCCAGACATCGACAGCAGGCTCATATCGAGCCATATTCGAGCTATCAAGAATGTCTAATGGAATTGTCTCTCGAATAACCGCTTGTATATAACGGTCTTTCGTTAGCTCGACGATACGCGTACGGAGAACAGGGTTGGAGGCAACCGTCATTTCCCATGCAAGTGCGAGCTTGGCTGGATCGACAGTGGACGGCAACTTAAATTCGAGCCGTAGTGTATAATTGTACTCAAATTGGATGGGGATGACAGACGCATCAAGCTGGAGCGAGGTAATAGGATAAGCGTCCTCGATCGAGCCCTGAGATACTTGGCACTGATCTGCGATGGTATGAAGAATTTGGTCGCTCTTCAGCTCAAGGTCGCATAAAAGTGCGAATGGCTTCATGTCTTCCGTTGTCTCCGAAACGTCTGTTTTGATATTCTGGCACAGAGTGGAGATCGTTCTGTGGCGGAATATATCAGGAACCGTCAGGAAGAATTGCTCTTGACGCGCAAGCGATACCAGTTGCATAGCCCCAAGAGAGTCACCGCCCAAAGAGACCCATTCGTCATCTCTTGCAATTTCCTGCAATTCTAGGTAGAGCACCTTGGCCCAAAGTCTCTGCATCTTCAGTTCTGTTGCTGTAAGTGGCATAGCCTTCTCCTTGTCTTCAACACCGAAATAGGCCTTTATCTGCGCACGCGGAAGTTGCGCGAATTGCTCTCGCAAGCGCTTGCGGTCTGCTTTCCCTGTCACTGTCGAAGGGACATAACTAACAGAGATATAGGTCTCTGGAATCATATAATCAGGCAACCTTTCGCGTAGCAGCGACTTGGTTGTGTTGATTCGATCCTTGAAACCCGCGTTTGGCGCCAGAAAGAGTTCAGTAGAAGATTGGGGCATGTTGTCCATGACAATGAAGGCAACCAGAGATGACGATGGTCTACCGGCCTTTATAGCTTCCACAATGACCTCTCGGTTGCCTCCCAGAACTGCCCGTGTCTGATGTTCGACTTCTCCGAGCTCGATGCGCTGGCCGTTGATTTTTACCTGCGTATCCTTGCGGCTGATAAAATGAAGCGAGCCATCTGGCAGGCGACGGACCAGATCTCCTGTTTTATATAACTTTTGTTCCGCTTCCTTCGAGACAGAAAGCCAGGAGGGGCTTGAAATGTATGATTTTGCTGATTTTTCTGGATCATTGACGTAGCCTTCACTTAAACTGGGGCCTTGGATCACAAGCTCCCCGACTAAACCGTTTGGGACGAGAACGTTATGGTTGCTCTCATCCACCACCCAGCAGGCGACGGCATAAGGGAAACCAATATTTGTAGCAGATTCTACTTTCCCAAAGTTGGATTGGATGGTGGTACACCCCGCGCACTCTGCCGGGCCATACACGCCTATGAGATGGGCATGCGGTAACCACATGTCAAGATCTGTCCGAGTAATGGGCTCTCCTCCCATGACGAGGTGTCTCAGACTTGGTAGCTTCGTGGGATTGAGTACACGAGCTACAGAAGGAGTAAGGAAGGCCCAATTAACCTGCAGTTTCTCGATGATCTCTAGCAGATTATTTTCGCGGTCAGACTCAGACGGAATGCAAAGACAGCCTCCAACAAGAAGCGCCCAGAAATGCTCCAAAAAGCTGACGTCGAATGCAAATGATGCGAAACTCAAGACTCGGGAATTTTGACTCAGATGCATAGGTTTATGGTTGTGGACAACCCCGGCGACCAATGCTTGATGAGAAACAAGGATACCCTTGGGCTTGCCTGTGGATCCTGATGTGAAGGCGACATAGGCTGCTTGACCAGGAGCCACAGCTCCCAGTTCCTGATCCGGAGGTGAGGTCGCTAGTAAACTCTCGTTCACTGTAACAACCGCATGCTCACCCAGGTTCCTCGCCATCTCAGATTGGGATTCACCGGATAGCACAATGCTAGCATTGATATGACGGCACATGTGTTGCAGTCGAGCCACTGGGTGCTTTGGCTCTAGGAAGCAAAAGGCGCCGCCGGCCTTGGAAACTGCGAGCATAGCCACTGCTGTCCAGAGTGACCGATCAAAACACAGGGGCACGAAACTTCCTGCCTGAACCCCTTTCTGCACCAAGAGTCTGGCTAAGGCCGAGGATTTGTCGTCCAACTCTCCATATGTTAGCTCTCCATCCCAGGCGCAAACTGCGGGAGCATCATGTTGCTCCAGGACACGCTGGTGGAAAACATCCTGTATGCAGATTGGAGTCGCCTTGGGAACTGTGAATTCTTGACACAAGCTCGCTCTGCGACTCATAGTCTGATCATTCATCATCGTGTAATCTGATATTTGTCGTGGTATTGGAGCGATAGGTGATATTGACAAAGAACGAGTGATGGTCAGACAGTTGTCTATGAGTAGATCCGGTCAACACCGATTGGTGAACAGAATTATCTAATGTATTAAGATATACGCAATGCCTCCGGGCCATTAATAGTCCACAGATCCCTCTATGATGTGGGTGATGACTGAAGAAGGCTCCCTATCGGAATGGTTTGCACCAGCTGAATCGATACTTGCCAGGATATGTCGATACGGTGATACTTGGATAGATTGAAAGCCACTTACTAAAATTACAAGTTCAAAGTTGATACGGCCCCCATACAAAATCTTCGCGACAGATTCCAAATGGGACTTCACCATGCATGATTAGGCAAATTGCGCGAATTTTCGGCCTCTTTGGACGTGTACGTGACAGTAGAACTATAGTACCTCGATCTTGCCACCCCACTAGCTAGCGCCTCAGCAGTCTCTGATCATCGCCGTTCCAGAACCTGGCCCAAATACCTGATACAAGTACAATATTTTGCAATACGAGCTGTCCCGTGTTTTGTATTTAAGATTAAATTTACGGACAAGAACAGCTAGCATGATATTACCTAGGATCGTCAACATCTCAGGGGGGGAAAGAAGAAAAAGAAAAAGAGAGAAAAACAAAAAGGGCAAATGAACAGACATCGCCTTCTCTATTACGCGGGTGGAGATGAAAGACAAGAAACGAGGAATTACTGTATTGATACCGAGTAGAAGGACATGCCCTAGTTTAGCCTAATCAGAAGCATCATGGATACCTACGAGGATGCACTACAGTAGACTATGAAAAGTAAGCTTACAAACTCAATTGACACGAACGACGATCAATGAATCGTCATGTCTGCAGTGCAGAGTAGAAGGCTTCGAATCAGATTTTCAGCTCTATCAAGTCTATGTATTTTTCCAATACAGTAGAAAGCAAGTTGACCCCCGCCCCCCACAGATATTCCGCCATATGAAATCGGCTTAAGCTTTGAGGGAAATCTCCTCAGTAGTCTCAGTAGCCTCGATCATCATCTGTTTTCCTTCCAATAACTGCTTCACATGTGGATTCAACCAGTATCGGCTGAGAACGGATGCCCCCATGTCCTGACTGCCTGCGATGAGTCCAAGACAGTTCTGAGACCCACAAAAGCAGTTAAATGGTTGAACCATGTCCCATTCGGTACTGGGATAAAAGAATGTTAATTCATCACCCACGGAGAGTGGTCGGTCCCGTGCGACCCGGACCTCAAATGTTGACATGTCAAATTCGAGGGAAGGAGAGCAGGAGTGGTTGCAGTAGACGAGGTCGGAGCATAGCTCGATATTCAGGCCCGGTCCGGTTTGAACAGACGTATAGGTCTTTTGGGGCGCAGGAATAGCCGTGGTGATCCTGCTGAACAGTGCGCCGGCAGGCAATGCCACTAATGAGCGGGCACTTGCTGTGAACGGTGTTGCACCCTTGATCACCTGGAGGGACTCCGGGTGACTGGGTTGCTTCCAGGTAGGGATGAATTCAGACATGGCGATGTATTCTACCGTGATGTTAGCGTGATTTGGTTATATGGGGAGGTGAAGGCTTTTATTTGACATACTTCTGCCGAAGGGGGGAACTGAGAGAGAGAAGTTTGAGGTATACGGGTATATGGAGGTAGAGACTCGATGCGATTTCAGGATTCAAACCGATTGAGGACCAGATGGTAGAAGGATCTAATATATATCTATCTCAGAGAAGAGGACTACATCATTTCCCGGACCCTAAAGAAAAATAACCCGTCTGGTACGGTGTCATAAAGCGGGTCGAGACAATTGCCTTTTCCAAGGCTCCGTAAATAGCTCCAGGCTATGTTTAGTAAAGATGGTCCATTTGTCGTCACTCCACCCTGCCCCTCTCAACTCTTTCAGCTCTTTCAGCTGAAGCCGCGGTATTTTCCAATATACTTGCTCCGTATTGAAGTACGTACAGGTGGCTGCTGCATCGCCGTCTCTTTCAGCAGCCCCACCCATCTCTGGAGGCATACTGGATGATAACCCCCATATCAAAAATCAATTAAAGCTATTGGGGCTCTTACAAAAATAATATATATTGATATATAATAGTTCCTTTAATCGGTCTAATTGTTATGATTGAGATAGAAATTATTATAGATATACCTGGGGCCAGACTAATCTGTTAAGTGGGTGGGGGGATGTTGACGGCTAGTCAAGTTTCGGTGAGGGATGGAAGGAAGATCTTGCATACAACATAACCCTAAAAGGGGAAATATATATATATATATATATATATATATATAATTTAGTCCTGAACTATTATTTATATTAGTCGCCGTTCTCTCAACTCCTCCAATATTTGTCACCTTTTAAACTCTAAACCTTGGTTCATCTTTCAGAAGCGTATTCACCACTGATCATTCTCTATTTTTGATTGAATGGGAAAATATGCCGTATGCGACAGAGGAGCAGTCTTCAGAGACTTGGCTTGCAGAAGGGAATCTTTGCCAAAGCAAAATATGTGGGCCACGAACAAACGGTACAGTTCTTGAAGCCATGAAGGGGAAGTTATCGCAGCCATCGCAAAGATACCGGTCTGAACCATTTTGCGTTATGGATCTTGGCTATGTCTACAACGAGTATCAGCGGTGGACTAGTCGACTACCGGACGTGAAACCATTTTATGGTTGGTCTCTCCAACTCTCTCCATTGTGTTTGTTCTTGGACTGACAATCCGCCTCAGCTGTCAAGTGCAACCCGGATACTCATGTTATCAAAGTTCTGACCGCATTGAATAGCGGCTTCGATTGCGCATCGCAAAATGAGATGGAACTGGTGATGTCGCAAGGAGTGACACCAGAAAGGATCATTTTTGCAAACCCATGCAAGAAAATATCCGACCTAGAATATGCTCAGCAGTTCGGGGTAAGGAAAATGACATTCGATAATGAGGCAGAACTGCACAAAATTCGGCAGCAGTTCCCGGATGCTCAGTTAATCCTGAGATGTTTAGCATCCGATCCATCTGCCACGTATGCGTTGGGCTCCAAATTCGGGGCATCTTCAGCGACTTCCGTCAAGCTTCTGCAATGCGCAAAGTCCCTAGGCCTCTCTGTGGTGGGAGTGAGCTTCCATATCGGCTCGAATGCAAAAGACCCAACTGCATTTGACAAGGCCATTCGAAATTCCCGCGGAGTGTTCGACGCGGGGCTGCGTATCGGCCATGATATGCACCTGCTAGATATTGGGGGTGGCTTTTCAGCGTATAACTTCGATGCTATGGCCAGCTCCATCCGGCGGTGTATTGACAAATACTTCTGCGGCATTGATGTTGAAATCGTCGCGGAACCCGGGCGTTACTTTGCGGCAGGCGCCCTGACATTGGCCTGCGGAATCATTGGGCGGCGGGATGCTGCTGATAATGATGAGGACAAAGAAAACCGACATATGCTCTATCTCAATGATGGTGTATACGGTACTTTCATCTGCAATATCTTTGAGCCCGGTCCGGAACCAAAGGTCCTTCGTGCATCGGGAGACTTTTATCCTCTGGATAGCAAGGATGACTGTGACAAATACACCATATGGGGTCCAACATGTGATGGAACAGACTGCGTGGCCCAATCTGTGACCCTTCCAAAATCCCTCGTAATTGATGATTGGCTCTATTTCCCTGATATGGGTGGTGAGTTCCTCCCCTTTTATACCCTATCCATATGCTTATATAGTTGTCCATGGACTGATGTATTATCGTGTTCTAGCGTATACAACATGCCTTTCAACTAGCTTCAATGGGTTCCATTGCGACAGAGAAACTATATACGTGTCCAGCGACCCTGCAGCCGACATCTATCTACAGCCAGAATGTTGATCCTTTCCTCAATGTACCGACTAGTGTTTAGAAATTCGGGTTGTTTGATATATGTCTATTGAGATACTGAAGACTTTGATATGTATTGGATCTTATGTAGGAAGTGCTAGAGTTTAGCAAGAAAGTACTTGAGATGATTCTGTTTTGTTAGCTATGGAACAACATAACCAATTGTCTTGCGTATCACATTTGAGAGTGACATAACTAAGGATCTAAGCATGAGTTCAATTATTGACTTTTTCTTTTTCTTTCCTTTTCTCTCTCTGTCTCTCTCTCCAATTTTTTTTTCTTTCTTTCTTTCTTTCTTTCTTTTCTTTCTTCTTTTCTTTTATTTTTCTTTTTTTTTTTTTT